GGGGGCCATAGCCCCGTCCTCCAGGGCATGAAGCAGGCATGGAGGAGAGCCAGGCTCCAGACATCCAGAGGCCCTCCGAGCACAAGAGACCAAAGAAGACCAACAGAGAGGCAACCGTGCCACTCTCCTGGAAAGAGCTGAGGAGAGCCCCAGATGAGGGGTCACTCAGCAGCCGCGAAGCAGAAGCCAGGGGGGGTTGCAGTAACGTGCCCGTGAGCTCCACCGGCAGCCAGCTGTGCCAGAGTGACCGAGCCCCAGGCTAAGAGGCCGAGGGCACCCCACCCCCGACCGAGCCCCAGGCTCCAGGCCCCGACAAGCAGCCACCAGGAGTTAGCCGGTGCGTACCTGGACGCCCATCCCTGGACACAAAGAACCACCAATGCAGTGATGTCTGAGGGCGTCTGCCACTGGCAGGCGGAGTGTTGGTGGGAGATAGCCCTCCATACCTTGGAAGGCATGAGATGTCCCTAGAGAGGTGGCGTCTGATACCCGAACTGACATATAGACACAGACAAACAGGCACACACAGATACAAACATCCATTCCCACCCTCATGCTCTCATATGCAATTACTCAGCACTCACCCAACGTGGAGACAGACATAAATAGACACTGTACACACAATCACACTCCCCAAGCGTACTCTATACCCCAGGTCTAGGTACCCTTGCCCCTGGAGGGGGAAACTGCACCCAGACCCAGGTAGTGTTACCCTCTTCCCTGGGGTGGAGAGAAGAAGACCGCCCCGACTCTGCAGCACCAGGGAGGCCCCACATTTCATACCAAAATCGGACGGCCAACTCCTCCTCCCAGTCCCCCCGCCCCAACAAGCAACAGAGAATGATGACTGGGTGAAGACTCCAAACCTCTCTCCTCCCGCTCATATGTAGTGTTAATGCATGTGCGTTCAAAGGTGCATTTAAAACCCAGGAGGGTATGGAGCTACTTAAAATTGAATTTTTAAATATTTAAAATTGAGAGGTGGGGAACGGCGCCAGGGGTGAGGTTGTACACCTTGATGGTCTTCTGGATGCCGTGTAGTGTGCCCACCCCCAAGGTCCTATATGTATGTGTTATGAGAGTATGAGTAATGTAAATGTCTACGTTGTGGGATAAAATTGAGGCACAGGCAGCCAGAAGGGAACAGAGGGGGGGATGTCTCCCCTGCACCCTGGTGACACACCTTTACCCCAAGGTAAAGGTGTGGGTGATTGTGGTTGAGCGGGAAGAGGGAGGCAGCTGGAGATGGGGAGGGAAGGAAGGGAGGGGCAAGTGTCCCCTCCCTGGGGCCAGCTCTCCTGCTGACCCCAGTAGGCAACCCCATACTCTTCAATCCACCAGGGCAAGGTGGCCCAGGCCCATCCAGACCGGGGCCCAGTTCAGCAGCGCTGCCCGGCCCCACAGAGCACGGGACCGCCCACCCGACCCCACCACAGAGAAAACTGCGCCCACCCAGTTATCCACTTCCAGACTACACAAGACAATAGACACCCAGGCTGAGTTCTTCCTCCACCTCTCGCGGCACCCCGCGCCAGGGCTCCACCCCCACTAGGTGATGGAGTTGATCAAAGGAGCCCAGAGCAATTGATCTGATGTGGTAGCAGAGGCTGTATCAAGACTAATGTAAACTATTAGATAATTTCTGTATTGGTTATGTTAAATTCTCCCAATTCTTTTGATCTTTGGGCTGAAGGAAAGACAATACTCGGTGTATAAATGCTCAATCAACAATCATTTTATTCCATGCAATTCAACACTTTATGAACATACACCATCCGGATGGGGAGACATGCATGAAGTGGGTCACAGCAAAATCTCAAAATGGTGGAGGGTTACTCAAACTCTTATAGCCTCTGGTGGCCCCCACCTAGTCGTAAAAACCTAAACATCCACATACTTTCTAACTCTCAGTGAGCCTGAGTTAAGGCTTTGGCTCCCTGTTTTTCTGCTTCCAGAAAATGTGGGGGTGAAGCTCCTGTGGAATGTGCTCTGTCCTCTCTACTATCAGAAAAGCAAGGCCCTGACCCTCTGCACACAATATTCTCTTCATAACTCAGCAGTATGAAGTGTCATGAAACAGTGCAATTCATTCACAGTAAAACAGCAGTATAGGATAATACAAACCTATCTAATAAATCGAATGATTTTCACATTCTTTTAACCCAGAAGTATACTGCAAACTAAAACTACATACTGATTACACAATCTATAATAAGAAGTATGATGTGGCTTACAGCAGTATCATGATTCACTCATTTCGATTACAAGCAGAGGATAACATATGAT